GTGGGAAAAGTTCTTATTGTTTTATCGGTTACTAATATATATTTTGAAATTTTTAAAGCCCATTTTTGCAAAATTTTTATTTAAGTTTTCAGATACAGTTTTTTTGTTGATAACAAGTAAAAATTATTAAACGTGGGGCTCTTAATAAACTTGGGGTGGGTGGGAAGTCAAGTAAAGGAGCTGTTCAATACGTGACACTTTTTTCGCAATTTTTAGACTCCCCCATGTTATATTTTGTGGGGAAAGTGGAATAATGTAGAAAATTAACTGATCAAAAAAATAATTCGTATAAAAAAAAAACTGACCGAAACTCATTTTAATTATTAATAGAAAAGTTTTTATATCGATATTCACAAAGGTAGAACGATATCGAAAAAATAAGTACGGAATAAGATCGAAATAATTTTATCGACTGACGTTTTTTACCGTCTCGATGTATTTTTTTTTTATGTATTGTAAATTCCCTTTCAATTTAATTCTATTTTTCAGGTATTTCGATATTGTTCTGTTTTTCGCATTTTCGATAAAATTATTTTTCTTACAATTTCGATTCCCTATTTCGACGTTGTTTCGGAGGTCCTTTTTCGAGATTTTTTTTTCGGAAAGACTTTTTCGGTATTGTAAATTCTCTTTTCAATTTAATTTTATTTTCAAGGTATTTCGATATTGTTCTGTTTTTTCTCATTTTCTATAAAAACTTTTTTTGAGATTATTCTGTTTAGCCGTTTTCGATACCGTACCGTGACATTTTTGTCAACATAAGTGCTTCCCTGCTTCTCCCCGGTATGCGGCGTGACATTATTTTCACTTAAAATATATCCGATTTTGCAATTTTCCGATAAAAATTCTACTAATTCCACTGTGATGATAGTTTAAATTTTTTTAAATGTGCACATCACATTGTAGCTATCCCCTCCCCTATGTGACATTAAGTAATACTTTTTGATCCCCCTCCCCTTAAGACTCTCACGTACTATTTAAACAGCCCCTATTTAAATAAATCATAAATAAAGTAACCCTTCTTCACCTTCTAGCATACGCAGGCATTATTTATCATTAAAAAATTCAAAACTTTAAAATCTAAATTTATTGTAGGAATTTGTTAATTCAACATTTTTCTCTGTTTAAATAAGAAAACGGGCAGTTTACAAGAGCCTTTCAAAGACAGGTTAATAATTTTAAAGTTTTCCCTTCCCCTAATGTCCATTGATTATGTCAACAGTATTAAGGCATTTTTTTCCTCTTCTCTCCTCTCTTGTAAACAACTTGTCAAACTTACAGAGCTTCCCCTAGGGCTAACAGAGCTTTACTAGGCTTCCCCTACAAAATTAAATCTAATTTTATAAACTTCTCCCCTGATCCCTAAATACAAAACTACAATACAAACGCTTTATCAACAATTTTTGAAGATAACATCAATCAATTGATGTTATTAACAGAAAAGCCTAAATGAACCTTAATAGCAACTTCTTCCCCCTCCCTGAACACACACACTTTTTTCACACAATTTTCTTGCTTTTTCTTTCCTTAACATGCTTTAGGATCCACATGAATAATGATTGTTTTTTTTACAAAAATTCCCTTTTAATTGACAACTATTTTACTAGTACTAATTTTAAAATTACCCTGTATACTTGGAGTAATTTCATGAAAACAGCAATTCTATTTTATTAAAAAATTATTATTAATATTCTGATACCATAATGTCTTTAGCCATTTGTAGCTATGAAAATAGCTGTTTAAAAAAATTGATATATTAAGATCAGGTAAGTGTATTTATTTGTCCAATGTGCAACCTATACTTGATTACTCTTCTTCTTTAGTGAAGTTCGCAGTGACTTTGACTTAGGTTGTTTAACTTTAACTTTATAAGCTTGTAGATTATCCTTGACGTAGGAAAATGTCCTTGCTCTTACATACAAATTCAAGATGTCCTCAAGAACATTTAAACAAACCTCTTTGTTAACAACAACATCAGTTTCACTTTTGATCTTTGAAAAATTTGATAAAATATTTGTGTCTTTGAGAAGTGTTAGTACAATTTCTTTACTGTCAATTTTATTGATAGAGTTTACAGCCATATTTTTAAATGTTGTTTCAGCAGTAATAAAAATGGATATTGCCTCAATTTTCATTTTCCATAAGCCTGATCTGTTACGTGTGTTCACAAGTTTATGCTCAGGCAAATCATCACTTCCTTGATATTGGGCAGCAAGTAAAATAGACATATACTGTTGGTAATATTCTTCCTTAAAAATATCTGAAAACCTGATTCGACGATATAACGTGCTAAAAACATACCCACTTAGATAGGCAATAACAGATTGATCTCTATTTGAAATTTCAAATAGAGATCAATCTGTTTTGCCTATCTAAGTGGGTATGTTTTTAGCACGTTATATCGTCGCATCAGGTTTTCAGATATTTTATCTGAATCAATTTTATCTGAAAAATCTTGTGTACTTTCGAAAGTACACAAGATTTTTCAGATAAAATTGAATCACCTAAAACTGATTGACCAGAAAGATGTGACAATACATGGTTACATACCTCGAATCCAAGTAAGGTGGAACACTGTGTATTTAATCCTATAAAAATAGATTCAATGTTGTCAAAGATACATTTGTAAAAATCTGGATAAAAATTTTCGGCATTTCCTCGAAATAAAGATAAAACCGGTTTAATAAACTGATATGCTGTGTTAGATATATCGAAATTAATCACATAGGCTTTAAAATGATTTTGTATTGATTCAAAGCAGTTATCTGATGAAAGCTTTGCAACACTTTTTTCTAAATATATTTGAAAATTTTGAAGATCAAGTATTTCTTTTGGTATTTTAGATTTCTCAGTATCTTTTAAAACTTCCGAGTGAACTGATAAAGCATCTGAATGTTTGCAATTAGTATGACGAGTGAGACCCCTAGAGCTCAAACATATTTTATTACAAAATCGACACGAAAATGTTGCTTGTGGTGTATGCGAATCATGTTGTTTTTCAACAACATCAGTTAACAAATCCTGGTCAATAACTGCAAAAATAGCATCAAGCTCATCTTGATTTAATTCGACAATGTGCTCAAAAAGAAATAAATCATTTGAACCTTCGGCCATCATTAAGTTTATTTTACACATTCCTGCGGGCCACCCGATTTTCAACTTAAACAATAAAAACTGTTGGAAACGGCCTGCGTTTCCAGACTGACTATGATTAAACATTACGTCAAAACAAAATTACGTCAATAACATTACAAAACCTTGTTATATAAATTATGCATTACGTCAACTGATTAATTTCAAAAAATAATTTTTTTTATTTGCATTTCAGCGATGTTTTAAGTCATTTAAAGAATTATTAAAACAATTAAAAAAAAAAAAAAAACACTCAATCCGGTCAAAACTAAAAAAATATGGAGGGGGTATAATTTTGTTTGGATTTTCCCAGTAAACGCCCATGTATTACATTATTCTTATATTTACGTTATATTACAATACGCATATATTTCTAAATTTGTTTGCTTTTTTTTAAAGATTTTTTCTTTTTTGCAAACTTTATAAGTTTTTTCGAATTTTTTAATTTTTTTTTTAACTTTTTAATTTCACTCTTTTTGTATAATATTAGAATTTGTAAAAATTTTTTTTTTTCTATTTCACGAAGGAGCCTGATGATAAGACATTTTGTCTTTTACTTGCCTCAATCAAGTAGATTGTAACAATATATACTTAATAGAATTTAAAGATAACATTATAAAATGCATATTGACGAAATAAACAAAACTAAAATTAGCAACATTTGATTTTTTAATCATTCAAAACAACAAAAATCAAAAACGTCGTCGTCAAAAACGTCGTAAAATAGCAAAAAGTAAAAATGCAAAAATGCTTAGTACTTATGAAATTTTTAATACTCTGGTATTAAAGTTCGGATAGATTGAAGTCTTTAACAAATCGTTTAAAATTTTTTATACCTCAAAAATTTGAACTTTTACAGAAGTATTTGGAAAAATTGAAAGACAACTAATACTTAATTAAAAATATGCAGTGTGCTCTATTCTTGCACAGTTAAATTGAAAAGTTTATAAAGATCTTTTTTATTATAAATATTTGGAAGATTGACGTCACATCAACATTAATTGAATTGTTAAGGATTTTGTAAACTAAAACTAAAAATAATACTGATATATGATTCACGGAAGTATGACTTTTTTTAATGCTATATGCTGTTTGGACGATATTCGCCATCTCATTTTATATCAAATCAATTAAAACTTTATTCATATTTACTTTTAAACTTCTTAATACCTTTAGCTAAACAGTTAGTGACTATAAACAATTATCTTTAGCTAAACAGCTTGTGAAAAAAGTATTAACGTTTATCGATTTTGAGTGTTATTTTTTTTCTTGAGTAATCCTCGTAAATGAATCGTTTTAGTTTTCATAAAAAAATGCTAGTTTTATGTTATTAAATTTTGATAGGTTATAAAATTATTACGGAATATATCATTATAACATTATTACAAGTTATAACATTACAGGTTATAACATTCTTACGAGTGTTCAAAGTAATGTTACGGGTGTTCAAAGTAAAGTTTTTTTTTTGACTATCAAATTATTTTGACTAACTTTCTACGATTAACAAAGCTTACAAATTTTAATTGGTTAAAAAGGATACCTTAACTTTTAGAAACCTTGTTATGTTTTTAAGTTTAGTTCACTCATGGCTCACACTGTTGAAACATTTTGATGTTTCGCAAAACTTAAGGTAAAGTAACAACGTCTGCTACAATCTCACAGTTTAAAGATTTTATTACGAACCTGTTAAAAATGCGGAAAATCTTTTTTCAAAGGTTTTCTGTTCTATAAAATATATTAGAACAACCATTTTTAAAATAATATTGTTTTAATATATTATGAACGATAAAGTAACTTTAAAGCTTATACTCGGACAGTTGTATAAACAAACAAGTTCCTTAATAGATTATTATCATTCAACGTTTTTTTTGTTTAAAGATATAGAAGAGAATACGAAAAAGAAATAAACACATATATTATACTTTATATTCAAAAGAAATTTATCAATAAAAAAATAGCAATTCTAGCCGAAGGACGATTTTTTACTTACTTGTAAGGTTCCGCACAAACGTCAAATATTTTTATAACTTGAAAAGTTGACAAAAATTTTTTTTGACTATTTTTCAAAACATTTCATGACTTCAAACAAAGTGTTGTCCGTTTCCTATCGTAAAAGTGAAAGCAGTAACTCGTGCGAATTTACAACTTCGTCATGCAAAGAACTTTACGAAAAAGATAAAATACATATTAAAAAAGTTGGACTGCTTGGCTGCGTCTCCTTAATTGTTGGTACAATGATTGGGAGCGGAATATTTGCTTCAACAAAAGACGTTTTTATTCATTCACAAAACACTGGTACGGCTTTATTAGTTTGGAGTGGTACTGGTATTTTTGTAGCATTGATATCATTATGCTATGTAGAGTTAGGAACAATGATACCACTCTCCGGTGGTGAATACAGCTATTATTTAGAAGCATTTGGAGAATTACCAGCTTTTGTTTTTTCTTATACATCAACTTTTTTTCTGAAACCAGCTGGATTAGCAGCAATTTTATTAGCAAGCGGAAATTACATGGCCGAACCTTTTTATGCTTCAGGATGCAATCTCGAGGAAAGAAATCTGGTTGCTAAAATCATAGCAGCTTTTTTTTTAGGTTGATAAGTTATTATTTTCTAGTTACCAAAGCCTTCACCAGTGTGTATCAATTTTGTCGCCAGGGTGTATCAATTAGATTAATTTTCTTAGAGTGTTTTTATTAAGTTGTTTTGTTTTAGTTTGAAAAAAGGTCTTAGTTATGAAATGCTGAAATCTGGTGTCGGCCTTGGTAACTTTATTTATTTTTAAATTCTACTATTTTTTAAAACTAAAACTTTGCCTAATACACATTTAAAAGATTTTGAGGTTTGAGGGTGAATCACACTGTTAAACAACACTCAAAAATAAAAGAAATGACTTTATTTTAGGTTTGATTGTATTTGCAAATTGTGCAAGCGTTCGATGGTCTACATATATTCAAGTTCTTTTTACAGCAGCAAAGTTGTTAGCAATTGTTGTTATTGTTGTTACTGGATTAGTAAGATTAAGTCAAGGTAATTTGATACCATTGAACAGGTTTGTGGTTGTGCAATTTTTCTTAGTAATTAATGCAAATATATATGGAATTTTGAAAGCCTATAAAATGTAAGTTTATATAAAGTTTTATGCTTAATAGGTGTAAATTGATAGTTGAAGCAAGGTTTTTTTCTGAAAAAAAAAGTGATTTAATGTGCATATTTCTGACTTTTAAGTTCAAATTGATGCTCTTTGTTTTAATTTTTTGATCTATAAATTAAAACAATATATAAACATATATACAATAATTTTCATTAGCATGATACTTTTATAACCAACCATAATAGCTCAAGATTGATGAAAATTCTAGATTTATGTGATCATAAGTCTAGTATTCGTTTTTAACAAAAATTATTTTTATGTACATTTTGTTTTTTGTACGTTATAAAAAAACTTTTTCGTTAACATCAATAAACTTGCCTGGTAATGAACTAAGTTTCTACAACAAAATTTGTTTTTTTCTTCTAGAAAAAGCATATTTATATTTTAATCTTTAAATTTGTCTTTTTGATTATCATCTTTTTGTTTAACCTTTTAGGTTATTACCTAAGCCGGATATAAACAAATAATCAAAATTCCCATTTTAATTATTTGTTTATATCCTGTATATTTTTTTTCTAAAGTCTTTATTTTTGAAACTCTTTATAAAAATACATTCAAAAGGTTTAAAAATATTGACTTAAATGTGAAAAGTGTAATCAGATTTAATAGACTAATGAAAGGTATAAGAATTTAATTTTCAAAATATTTAGTAGCATGATTTAAAGTGTTTGAAACCGGTTAGAACTTAAGGATAACATTGTAAAATGTGTGCATATTGACAAAATAAATAAAATTAGCAACATTAGATTGCTTTCCAGTTTTTTGGTACCCAAAAATTAGTTATTTTTTTTCTTCTGGGAAAACGTTTAAACAATATCAGAAACGTTGCGCCAACGTTGTTTTGACGTTAGCCCGACGTGGTCTGCTAGCTCTCAGGTAGGTGGAATATCGTTTACGTAAAATCAATCTTTTTTTTTTTTCTTCTGAAATTGTATTCATTTAACAATTTAAATGCTTTTCAGCGGTGCACTGTGATAAGACAGTAAGATTTTCTTAAAGCACCTTAACCATAAGGAAAAAATTGTCACCTTTGTGAAAATGGCGTAGTCACAAACAATTTTAAACCAAAATATTAGAAAACAAATATAGTTTAAGCATTTTAAGTGCCCTTTACAAAGAAAAAAAAACAAATAAAAACTTAAACTAAATTTCAAATAATTTAAACAAAATTTAAAACAACAAAAATATTATAAAATGTTTATAATATTATTGTATATACTACACGAATCCTGCTTTCAAGCAGTAATAATAAATGAAAAACTCATCTTTTATTAAAAGTAACAACAAGTTGCTCTTAATTGTGAGTATATTGATTATGCTACATCTTTAAATCTATTTTAATTAGGTTTAAGTTTAGAACGAAGTTTTTACACTGCTAAGCAAACTGACTGTAAACTGTTAAAATAACGTGGATGATAGGAATCTTGAGTAGATAAGATTAATTTTAAAATATAGCAAATGTTAACTTAAATTCGTTCGCAAGAGTTAGATAAAAACAAGAACCTTTTAATATTAAACAGTCTTTTAAACATTGAACAATAATTCTTGTTGAGAAAAAGTTGAGAAAACTAAAGGTATATAAAACACTTTATCCTATTTACCCAAGACAGTTTGCTGAACAGTAAGAAGACTTCATTTTAAATTTAAACCTACATAATACAGATTATATTTAAATGTGCAAAAAACTCAGCATTGAGAGCAACTCTGTAGTGAATTTTGACACACTGCTTGTGAGCAAGAAGAAGAATTCGATTTTTATTGAATTATTTACCATATAAACATTTTTATTTAAAAATAAAATATTTTTATTGTTTTTTTTTAAGTTATTTTGTAATTTAATTTAACTTTTTTTTTGTAATGGGCATCTAAAATGCTTAAATGGGCTGAGACTCTATCATTTTTACCCTTTTGGTCTTTTTGGCCTGGTGGTCTCTTTGGCCCACAGTGTGCTTTCTCTTAAATAAAATATACAAAAATTTTGAAAATTTTAAACTGCTGGTGCATTAATAAAATAATTACAAATCAAGATATGAAAAGGTTTTTTCATCCATAATTTCACTAATTTTATACCACATAATGATCTCAGTGTAACTGAAAAAGATTGCGAGTTATTGTGCATAAATATTGTTAGCCAAAACATAAATGTTAATGCGACTTAAAGATAACCATTGGATAATTTAAAAACTTTTACAAATTCCTCACGCACTTTTTCAAATCAAAGTAATCAAAAATGAAAGCATATTTAGTTTGTCAGTGACCAGAATATTTCTTTTGAACCGTCTGTCATATAACATCGCCACATATTGTCATATCCATAATAATGTTAAATATTATGTAAATACTCTTTTATACTCTCATTCCAACAATAATCACATCAACAAGAATCACATAAAAAATTTTTTTACACTGCTCAATAACAAAATTAATTAATACTAATAACTGCTTTACATGTAAAATAAAGGTTTGACAGATCAAACAGCATATCACTTAAAAAAAAAAAATTTAAACCATTTATATATACATGTGACAGGTTAATGTAAATTTTAGTTTTGTAATCTGTTTATCAGCTGTGTTGCACAGTAGGCCAAAATCATTATTAGTTGGACAAAAGAAATCACTTTTAAAATAATAATAAGATTTTCCCCATAATTGCCACGTATATACTCTATTTTATACTAAGAATTCAATGGTCCCATTACATTGTTTATTTAATTGCTATGGATACTTATATTCTATAACAACAGTGTGTTTTGTATAAATACCTAAATTAACAGCCTTTCTTAAAGTGTCAAATTTATAAACCAAACTGATATTAACGCTACAATGCTATTTTATGTATCTGAATAATAACACAAACAAAAAATTACTATTTTTTGGTGTCGATATGCAGTTTTAGGCTCTTAGAAACCAGTTATTTAATTTCTTTTATAAAAATTTTGCTCAGCTCAAAATTTCTTTAAAAAATAAAATAAAACTTTGAAAACAATCTTAACTCTAAGGGTTTATAAATACAGTTAATAAAATTCAAATTGGTTGTATCTATGTAGTTCAAGTGTTCTTAACAACCAAATAAAAATTAACAAGCATTCATACCATAAAAGCTATAGAATACTTTATAAAGTATAAATGAGAATACAAGCAAATTAGTATGTTCACAAAAACATTTATTTACATAAAATGCATTATTTTATTATATAAATAATAAATACTAATGAAGTAAACAACATCTTTAATACCAACTAAAATCAAAACTATGCAATCGCAATTTAGAGTTGGTCAAAAATTGGAACCTTTTTGAGTACATCAAAAATACCAATTAGATAAGCGTTGCTCTTTGGATACTATGATTTTCTCAAATTACTTATAAAAGGGTCAGAAGAACACATTAGTCGCCTAGATAAATCTTCATTTGTTCTTGATCGCGAACACTTTCTGGAAAATAGTTCATAAAACTTCCTAAAGTTTTTATTTTTAGTTTCTTGTGCCTCTGCACTGAGCATGCCACTAGGCATAGTCATTCTCTCTATAACTTGCCAACCATGAATAAGAAGGCGATTCAAACAATGTGACATGTAATACCAGAGATACAGATTTTTTTTACACTGTTTTGTAGCATAAATTCTTTATATAGTGAAGAGTCAATTAGAAAGCTAGATGACATTGTACACAAAATAACATGTAACATCTTTATCATACTGACATCTAGTTCAAGAGATCAACCAAACTTTTTTGCATTCTAAAAAAATCTTCTAGCAGTGTTTCCATTCTTTGATGACCCAGAGCCACCAGACATTGGCCTATCAATTGCTAGTCTAACTTTACCACAAAATCTTATTTGAATTTTCTATTTTTGTCCTTGGATAATTTTCTTTTCAAATGGTGTCCTAGTAGATCACTTTTTCACCGTTAATTTATAATTAGTTTTGAGAAGACTTTTAAGAATTTTAAGAATCCAAGTATGGAAAGTTAAAGGCCAAAGCAAAGACCTATCTATGTAAATGACATATTATTGCATCCTCAAACTGAGCAACACTGAGAAGATATAGTTACTTTAGATGTTGTAGCAACTTTGAATTAAATAAACTAGCTTCTTCTAAAAGATTTCTATTTTCTTTCTCAATTGTTACTTGAGTATAAATTCTTTGTTTAGTTGATCAATCAAACCGAACTTTAGAATGTAATGTTAGTCTTTCAAGATCATTTATTGAATCGATAACTTGTTTCTGCAACTTTATTAGGGGTATTGCTGTATATATTAATGCTTGAAAGTTTATTTTTCCAGAAAAAACTATTAACAGTCCATAATGTTTGTTCAGAAAGACATTATTCTTTTCAATCATGAATATTATTGTGTGCAGAATAGAGATTAGAACCTTTACTCACAGCATTATTTCTCAAGTGTTTGTGATCAGATTTGCTCATATTATTATCTAATACGAATGCTAGAGCTTTTTTTAGAGTGTTTTGAGCATGTTCTGAATCAGAAAGTTGCTTCAGGTAAACTTCGAAATTCACATTTTTTCTTCTGCCATCTTTAGAAAGATTACAAATACTAGCATATAACAGTTCATTTAAAGAACTAGTTAATAAGTCGATAGCTGTTACTTTACGACACTTTGTCTTATTTGATGAACTCTCAAAAGATTTCACAGGCCAACCACTAACTATAGATTCTGTTTTGTTATCCTTTTTTTAAATCTTGATTAAACCCAGGAAATACAAATAATCATTTAACTTATGATCAAAAAAATCTCAGCTAAGTAGATTTCCACTAAGATTTTGTTAAATAAATAAACTAACTTTTATTTTGATTTTTTAAGTAATGAATTGAAAATGTTTTATTTATGTATCGGTTGCTATTGCTTTATCATAGATA